CTTTCCTGTTTTACCTTGCCCTCGATCCCTTTACATTCAACTGCCATACCTTAGCATCTTCAGCTTAGTTTGCACTACCTTCCCCTGCTTTGACCTTTCATGCTATCCATACTTTATACTTACTTCTCTTTTTAGCACTATTCTGTTTAAGGGTATTAATACTAGTTACCTCATTGATGTTTAGTCCAAGGGACCTGAGCTAGTTCACCTGTGTGGATCCAAGAAACCCAAGACTTCCATCCGTTCATCGGGCAACAGTCTTTACATCGTATTCACATCTGATGATGCTGATACTGGTAAAGGCTTTCGAGCAACTTGGAAGGCTGTATCTAGGAATATAAGTAAGTATTTAATAGTTTGTTTGTTTGTTCGTTCGTTTGTTGTTTTTTTTTGTATGTTTAATTTTTACTTACTTATTTATACAATAATTCATTTTTTATTTGCTTACCTATTTGTTTGTTTATGTACTTATGCGTTTGTTTGTTTACTTATTTATCTATTGAGGATGAGGATGACACGTATATTATCATAAGTATGTTGCAATAGAGGCTTTGCACCATCGCGTGCCAGCGCCCATAATACAGCTTGAGCTGCCTGTGGTTAGATGGCAGAACAATAAAACCCCTTTGCATCTTTCTCATAAAAACGATCGTATTGTTCCTGCTATCTAACAAGGCTGCTGTCACGTGATGTTGCTAAGCCTTTATAAGATAATTTYGTCTTAAAAGTTCTCAAATTCAAAATGAAACGTTGTTTATCCCGATCTACACCTTTGCAGAATGTGGTGGTAAATTCACCAACTTGACGGGAGATATCTCTAGTCCTCACTTCCCTAACAACTACCCTGCAAATGTAGACTGTGAATGGATTATTACAGTACCAATAACCCACTCTTTGACGCTTTCATTCGAAATCTTCAACGTTGAGCAGAGCGCCAAATGTTCGTACGATAACGTGGAGATTTGGGAAGGAACAAAAAAGAACTCTCCCTCGCTTGGTGAGTAACTTAGTCGTGCACTGACTTAGATCAGCCCAGAGGTTGTTACATGGTTCTATCTGTGAGTTAGCCATGCCCTGACTTAGATCAGCCCAGAGGTTGTTTCAGGGTTCTATCTGTGAGTTAGCCATGCCCTGACTTAGATCAGCC